TGTCATGCCAATAATACCTAATTATATATTCCTTTTATAAAGTTCTCTCCCTTGTCTGTTTCAATGCCGTGTAGCTTAGTTATCCCCTCTTTTCTTAGTTTCCCTCCAGCCCCCATGTCAGTCCTGTTTTAGAACATTGGCATTATGCCGTATTTGTCTTGTTGTGACTGAGATATTTCACTCAGCATAATGTCCTCCATGGTCACCCATTTTGTATAATTCTTGAGTTCCTTGCTTTTCAATGCAGCGTAGTATTCCAATGTGTGAATGTACTATAGCTTCTCTATCCATTCATTTGTTGATGGGAATCCACCTCATCTTGGGTCTTCCTCTCCTGCACTGACCCTCCACCCTTCCAAGCATGATGTCCTTCTTCAGGGATGGGGCCCATCTGCCCAAAGTATGCGATGCAGAGCTTCAAAATCCTTGCCTCCAGGGAACAGCTACCTGGTTATTAATTATTTTCTATAAGAACACTTGATAGTCCCTCCTCTATTGCTTCCCTTTGAGGGAATTTTCCATGATTATATTTCAGGTATTGGTATTTGCTGTTGTTTTTCTGGGTATAAATTCTCATATTACCTACCTCAGTTTATCTCCAGGTTTAAAGAGTTGGTTCCAAGTTATGCTCGGCTGATGCCCCTGATTCATGTGGAATTATTGCTCTTTTTTTTTGTTTCCCTCCAGAGTTGATTTCAGAGGAGGCTAGACTAAGTCCTTATTTCTCAGCAGTATCAGCATCACCTAGGATCTTGAAAGAAAAGCAGACTCTCCAGGCCCTCCCAGACTTGCTGAATGAGAATCCACATTTTTGGCAAAGTGCCTAGGTGATCTATATGAGCGTTAAAAGTTTGAGGGACATGGAAGAGATGATTTCTAAGTACTTAGAGTTGTTAATATTCATATTTCTATGAGCGCCATGTCCATGCACTTATTTATTTTTGACACTCCTATTTACTTACTGTGTGACCTTGGGCAAATTACTTCGCTGTCTTTTGTTTTTTCAACTGTAAAATGACACTTCCCACAAAGGGTTGTCTTATGAACACATTAGGTGCTTTAGAAGTGTTAGCAGCCTTGCTATGGGGTTATTGCATTACTATCAGAGTTTGAGGAATACGTTTTGACTCCCAAGTAAGGCAAGAACTAAATTGAGAACCATGATATTAAAATGGGCTTTGCTGGAAAATGAGGTTGTACAAGCATCTAACTGAGACTAGGAAGAGTCCGATGTGTAAGAGGGAGAACAGCGATTTCAGACCTAGAGGCCACACTGAGCAGCTTTAGAGGCTCCCACCTGTTTAAGATCTCAGGAGTAGATAGTACTTCTTCCTAGCAATTCTTATTTCTGTGATCCAGTTGTAGAGCTGCCTGTGTGACAAATTCTTGATACCATCAGGCCGAGACAGGCTGCACTGAGGAGTAACAATTTGGAGGGGCTGGAAGATAATTGTGGGACTGACATCTGAGGGAAGTTTGTGAAGACAGGCAGGTAATGAAAACACCACAAATGTTACGCAAAATAAATGAACATCTCTTATTGAACAGTGAGGGAATGTCTGTGGTCTGGTCTCGAGGTGCCCAGGAGATGTTAGTTATATCAAAGTTGCTCATATTTTCGGCAAGCCTGCTGGTGCCTCTATTTCTAGATAGGGGGTTACTATGCACTCTTGTTAGCCTGGAACCTAGTTCACATTTTGCGCACTCGTCCCTCCAGGGCCTCCAGCTCAGCCATTACTTCCTTGGGTAGATCCTGGTTGACCTGCTCAGTCAGGTAACTCCGAATGTCAAGAACTTCCTGTTCCCAGAAGTCCTTGGGAAGTGAGAACAGCTGGGTGGTATCTATGGCTCCCAGGCCACTGAGATTCAAGGCCCCTTCCTTCGGCACCAGCCCAATGGGTGTCTCTCGGGCACTGTCCTCTCCCTCTAGCCGTCGGCAGATCCAGTCTAACACACGAGCATTCTCCCCAAAACCTGGCCACAGGAAGCGGCCTGCCTCGTCACGCCGGAACCAGTTGACATGGAAGATGCGGGGGAGCCGGGCCCCCTTGCGCCCCTCCATGCTTAGCCAGTGTTCTAGGTAGCGTCCAAAGTTGTAGCCGAAGAATGGCCGCATGGCGAATGGGTCATGCATGATGATCTTCCCTGGAGGAGGAAGCAATATGATAAGGAGGCTTCCTCTTTACTGGGGAAAGGAAGGGTGCCTAGCTGGAGGAAGTTAAGAGATGTTTGAAGTGCTAAAAGGTCTTCAAGACAGAATAAGGAAAAAGAATTAATGGAGAAAGGACAAAACTGGGAAGAAGTGGTACCATTAAAGACAACAGGCAGAGGCCAGAAGAGGGTTTGGCTCAAGAAGGCAGGCAGGGAGCAGTGGGACATTCACCTTTGTGTTCAGCTGCAGCAGTAGACTCAGAGCGCATGGCACTGCCCACGAACACCCCGTGGCGCCAGTTGAAGGCCTCGTATACCAGGGGCACCCCTAGAACACAAGTGCACACAGTCACAGGCAGCACTTTCCCTTGGTCCTTCACTTCATCCCTTCTGATGATCTTGACTCCTTAACTCTCACCCCTAGAACCCCATTTCTCCCTTTTTCTGACTCCTTCCTTCCCTTGATACTGAATCCGTCAGGGGAAAACTCTGGAGACAGATGGAGATTCAGGCTGGGGCTGCCTGAGCTTGAAATAGAACAGAGAGGTGAATCTAGAGCCAGATGCATTACAAAGAAGGCATGGAGTCCACACAGTGTTTACCTTTGGGTCTTCGGCCTCCAAAGATGATGGCATCAATAGGGACCCCCTCAGGTGCCTCCCAAGCTGGGTCCATGATGGGGCACTGGCGAGCCGGGGCACAAAATCGAGAATTGGGATGTGCACACGGCTCCTTGTCACCTGGCATAGAAAGTGCAAATACCATCACTTCCAAGGGATCACTCACCCCCTAACACACACATCCACGTGCATGGACTCTTGCACAATCTTTTTTGCTTCAGCAACTCCCTGCAAACTTATGTGGTAAGGAGCAGGGAGAGTGGAGCCAAGATATCTTCTTCCAAAAGAGAAGCATGGTGCTGCCAGCTGAGCTAAGTAGGACAGGGATAGGGTTCATCAAGGATGAACCAACATTTATGTTGCCAACATATAGCTACTTGGCACTGACTAGGACTCAGGGTAATGGGATTAGATATCTAGAAATCTATAATAGGCTTCCATAAGGACTATGATAGAATTTCCCCCTAGAAACTATTTCTTTATTTTGAGGATGATTATTTAAATAAACACCCAAACCTAGCACAAAAATTGAGACTGTCCAGCCAATATTTTAGACAATTGACTTTCCATTAGCAAATGGGAAAATTGAATCTCCCGAGCTATCAAAATGCAAACAAGAATTGATTTTAAAGCTTAACAGAATTTGAGTGATTTCCCTGACCCTGCTCAGATCCAGATTGAGTGGTAGAGGTTGACAAACTCACACAGGAGCATCAGCTATGCAGGAACTCGGGTCACATTCAAGTGACCTGGAGAGGGCATACGACACCTCCATGTGGGGCTCCTGAAAGTGCTGCACAGAGATTGCAGAGTAGACCTGGGAGTTGGGGGAACCACAGGGCCAACGCCCTCCTATCCTCTCACCCACCCCCAACTCCTGCTTTCTCAAATAAGAGCTGTCCCTGATGCTTCTCCCTTGTGTTTCCATCTGCCCCTGATTCAGGACCCTTCACAGGGTATTGTTCTGGAAGCTGAAGCTGAGCACAAGGCGCCCTAGTTCTATCCCTGACTCTAGAGATGATGAAAGGGTTGGGAAACTAGCCTGTGGGGAAGAGATTAAAGTTTCCTGGATTTCTCTGTCGAGTGGGAAGGCTGAGGGGGCTTAATGATGGTTTTAGAGAAAATGAAGGGTGATTAGATGAGGAGGGTAACTGTGAGGTCAGCCTGGCACACTTGAATATAGGCTTCAGCAAACACAAATCCCCCCCAACTTCCCATGCTCTTCCCCGCTTGCATTCCTGAGTGGGCTGTCACTGCAGAAGGCCACCAAAAGCTGAAGGACCAGAGTGTAGGGCTAGGGATGGGGATAGGATGCAAGACCTCTGGAATAATGACAGGGTTGAGAGACTAACTCAGGGAAGGCTAAAAAGATTTATGGTTGAAAGGATAGTGGGTATAAGGGGAGGGTAACTATTTGGACCTTTAGATAATTGTTACTCTACAGAGGATAGTGGGAGCCAAAGGGTGGCTCAAAACACACTTGTCAAGGGTGGGGACAATGGAATCTATTGGTTTTTTTCCTACAACCGGGAAATATCTTTAATCTGCTCTTTTCTGTAAGATGCTTGTCTGTCAGATAATGTTCTAAATCTGAGCAATCAAATTAAAACAGACTAGGAAGAAGGATTGGCCATCCACTTCCAAAATAGCAGGCCTTTGAAAAACATGAGATAGGTACTACAATAATTACTTCGATTTAACTAATGGAGAAATGAAAGCTTAGGGAGGTTAAGCCCTTAGTCAGGTCACAAAACCATTAAGCCAAGGAGCTGGGACAAGAGCTATAGGGTTGGAAAACTACAAACATTGACCACTTTCTGTGCTTTCCAGAGGTTATGTATGATGGCTAGAATTTCTGGAACCTTTCACATCCTTAAAGTACTTAGTTAACCCTTTGGGCTATGTCACAACTCCCCTGCCCAACATACCAGGTTTCCAGGATTTGCCCAGCCAGGAGGTCACTGTAACCCCAGGTGGAAGAGGCTGGTCAATGCCCTCCCAGTACACTCCACCATCACTGGTCTCAGCCACATTGGTGAAAAGAGTGTTACTCTGGATTGTGGCCATGGCGTTGGGATTGGTGGTGGCAGAGGTACCAGGGGCCACCCCAAAGAAGCCATTCTCAGGGTTGATGGCACGGAGTCGACCTGCCAGGAGAGGCAAAAGAAAGGAAGTTGAGAAGCAAGGCCAAGGAAGGTCCTGCTCAACTCCTCATTGCCTTGAGTGAATCTGTGAGGAATCTTTGCCGACAGGGTGTCTGGACTACCTTGAGGTGTGGGACAGGGTCAAGTTCAGGAAAAGCTTGACATGAGCAGCAGAGAGGGTCTCCTATTTGATGGCAAGAGCCAGAACTTAGACCCCGTGAGCCCCTCACCTTCGCTGTCAAACCGCATCCAAGCAATGTCGTCACCCACACACTCCACTTTCCAGCCAGGCAGTGCAGGCTGCATCATGGCCAGGTTGGTCTTGCCACAGGCACTGGGGAAGGCAGCGGCCACATAGCGCTTCTTTCCCGCAGGGTTAGTGATGCCCAAGATCTGCATGTTGAAGAGAGTTGATCACCAAAGGTCAAGGCATTGTGTGCATGGGGAAAGACAGCTAGAGGTTACCAGGGAGGGTCAATACTGGTTCACTAAATAGGAGGACCACCTTGCCACTGGGCCTGAAGTGGCGGCAAGGGGGAAACCCAATACTCAGCAGCCTGTGGCCAAAGATTTGGGCAGAGTTCCTGCCCACCAGTGTAGCACCTCCTGGCAGTGGGGAGGCAAGGTGAGGCTGACCAGCCAGGCCCTGCCCCAACCCCACACCCCAGCTGCCCAGATCCTCACCAGGCCCTCACCAGCATGTGCTCCGCCAGCCAGCCCTCATCCCGGGCCAGCCGAGAGGCGATGCGCAGGGCAAAGCACTTCTTGCCCAGCAGGGAGTTGCCACCATAGCCGCTGCCGAAGGAGACGATCTCCCGCTGGTCAGGCACGTGGCCAATCAAGGTTTTCTCTGGGTTGCACGGCCACTGGCTCCCTGGCTCCCCTGGGGACAATGGGGTCATAGGGCTGCTGGCTGGGGCACCGGGAAAAGGGGTGTCAGGGGCCAGAGGTATCAGGGGAGATCCTTGGGAACTGTGATGCTGCATGCCAAGGGGAGGCTAAAGCTTCCACCTCACGTTATCCACAGCTCCCAGGGCCCTATTTGACGCAGGCAGTTTTCTCTACCTTGTGCACATTGCTCTGAGGACAGTTACACCCCCAGCCCAGACTACTGTCCTGGATCTCGGGAATGAGGTTTTCAGAGAGCATGATTTACTGGGGTCTCCAAACAGGTAGAATTTGAGGTTTCTTATGGATACAACAAAACTTCTGTGTCCTCTACTAGATACCAGCAGGTACTCACCTTGCCCAGTGAGAGGCTGGCCCACGGAGTGCAGGCACTTGACGAAGTCACCATCTCCGAGGGCATGAAGCACAGGTGTCCCCAGCCGAGTCATAATACGCATACTTGCTACCACGTAGGCTGAGTCGGTGAGCTGCACCCCAATGCGAGAGAGCGGGGAGCCCACGGGGCCCATGCTGAATGGAAGCACGTACATGGTTCGGCCTATGGAGAAGAACATTGCCTGGATGAAGGGTTCTAGTCCTGTCTATACCTTGAGTGCCCAGCCTCTGGCCTACCACTGGTTACCCTGCATGCAGCCTGGAAACCTCTCATCCACAGCTCGCTGGAATTCCGCGGGGGACATCCAGTTGCCCAGCTGCCCACGGGCCCCGCCAGTTGGGAGGGGTACTGTGTCCCGTTGAGAAGGAGTCACAATGACAGTCTTGCTCTCTACTCGTGCCACATCCTTGGGGTCTGTGCGGGCCAGCCAGCTGCGGGAGAGAGGAGGTCAGGAAGATGGTGGCCAGCAAGTTCCCTCATCCATTGACCTACTTCTTCAAGTCCAGTTTAGTTGTGTTTTTGTTTTGTTTTTTTTTTTTTTTAAATAATAACATTTTTTACATTCTTCCCAAATTCTTGTTAACTGCTGACAACTGAAATATTGTACTTTTTAATTTTATACTGGTTTATTTACAAAGTTCATATACATTATTTTTCACACTGGATCTTTCCCATTTTCTTTATCCACCCTTCCCTCTACCCATCAAATTGTGCAATCCTGTGATTAGCCCCCTGCCCAACCTCACCTCCCTTCTTCTACCCTTCCCACCTCAGATCCTCATACCATTTTACTAGTTTTCTATTTCTACAAGAAAGGTCCTATGTAGTATTTGTCCTTACGGGTCTGAGTTAGTTCGCTTAGATAATGCTCTCCAGTCCCTCCCAAGTTAGGCAGTAATTTTAAAAATCCAATTTTGATGCCAGGCCACTGTATTGGCCTATTTCTCCCTATCCACTAGCACCTCAGACCATTCCTCCAGGTTTTTGTTTCATCTAAAGGATATTTTCTCATGACCTGAGTTCTTTTGAAGCCTCAGCCCTTGCAAAAATCTACTTAAATTAATGAGTTTAAAAAAACTGCAAACACTATTTTTTCTTGGTTTTCATTCAATTATTCATTTTATTTTATAACAATAACAATTTTATAATATTATTATTTACAGTGTCTTACCAAATCTTCTCTGGGCCCTCCTTTCCCCTTCATTCTATCCATCTATTAACTGATCTCTACTCTCTCTTCTTCTTCTTATTTATATCAGATTCATTTAATGTGAAAATACAGACCAATCCCAGTTCCTGGTTTTATTTCCTGTTAAGCTTTCATTGTGGCTGTCTGTATTGGGAAGGTCAAGCCTAAAATGGCTGCTCTCAGTCCAAGCAGCTACCTCATCTCAGGAGTTGCTGGGCCCAGGAACTTACCAGTTATTGTACTTGGGGAGCTTTCGGATAAGACCCTGTTGCTCGAGCAGATTGAGTGTGGCCGTATTCTCAGCTTCGGTCCCATCACAGATGTGGATGCTCTCTGGTTGGCATAGGCGGGCACTGCGTTCCACAAAGTCTCGAACCCCTGCAGGCAGCTGTCCCAGATCTCCATTGAGCACACGCAGGGTCTGGATGCTGCGGCGTGATGACCTGGCCCAGGGGCTCAGCACGTGCCAGTTAAGCCTGTGAAAGATGAGGTGGGGAGGTAATGAGCCTATTCTTGGGGGTGTGTGAGTAGACCAAAAGTTTGGCTATAGTGTGACTGGGGACAGGCCCTGCAAAGAGCGGGTGGAGTTGGAGTAGGGGATGGATTCAGGCTCCTCATGACTTTGTGGTCTTTATAAGACTTACTAAGGGCATTTCTGTTGGTGACTCTGGTCTGGCTAAATAAATTAGCATGAAAGCACATGGTTGGCTGTATGGGAGTAACTGTGTAGGCATGTATTATTACATGCATAGCCAAGGCCCATATTTAACTGTCTCTGGCCAGTATTTGAAATAAGCAGACACCTATGACCCAAAGCCCTAGAAACTGGATCCAGGTGATGCCATCTTGTGTCTGGTGTGCAAGATCTTAGCCCTGTTTGTTACTGTTACATTCTCTAGAATAATTTTTTTATACATATGGCAGCTGTTTTTACACTCCTCCCCACCCCCCGCATGTAAGCTGGAAGATTGTGAAAGCCTCAAAGCAAGTTCAAGTTCTTTGGGATAAAACCGCCCTTTTCTAGCCTCAGGTGGGGTGATGAGGTTTTAGAATTCCAGATGCTCTCTCTGCTGCTGCCCACCTAGACCAACAGGATTGTATAAAATGTTTTGTTTAGGGTTTATTTCCCACCATTTGCTTGTTTTATCTCTCTAAGATAGGTAGTTTTGAACTATGTGGAAGGTTGACTACTGGATGTCATTCATACAACTCTTAAGGGAGTAGGGTCCCTTGTTATCTGTCTTCTCCCACTTCTGGGAGAAGAGAGTTTGCTCTGAATAGACTGGACTGAGGGTGGAATGACCGAGGAAGAGCAAAGGCCAAGAGGGGGAAGTTATCCTCCTGCTGTGCCAGGGCCTCACCTACCAGAAACTGCCCAATAGACCCAGGACCATGTGATCTGTCCCTCCCTTTGCTCCTTCCTAGAGGCCAGATGCCTAGAGAGCTTTGAGGTTGATCATAGGGTGGGACACCAGGTGGCAGGAAACTCAGAATCAGAAGGTGTGAGCCTAAGGACTGGACAAACTGCCGGTTTGATTCTTGGTTGTGGGAGCTTTTGCTTGGCTTGGATATGAGCTGAGGTGGCTTGCACCAGTCAGAACAGGATGGAAAGCCCATTGTTGCCCTGGCCAGGGACAAGGGAGGAGGGCTGCTAATGGGAACAGTCCTCTCCACCTTCAATGTTAATTTTGCATCTCTCTTCTACTGGAGCCTGGTTCAGGAAGCTACTTTCCCTCCCTCAAGTTCCCTCAGTGAACATTCTCCCTTTCCTGTTCTCTAGAGACCCCTGGGGCTGCATAAGTAGGACTAGACTGACATAAGCTGCTGACTGGGACAAAAGAAGAGACAAGGGGAGGCTACAGAGGTAAGCCTCTGTGAGGGGGACTGGTGGAAAGATGGATAAGCAGATGGACAGGGCCTGGGGGCTCTCCTGGATAGGAGAAGCCAGCCAGCCATGTAAAAAATGAAGGCAACTGACCCTCCCCCACTCCCACCTTGCTTCTCTTTCCTAGGCCCCAGGTCCCTCTGGCTGAGCTGGGCTTCCTGCCAGGTTCCAGTCTCTGAAGAGACTGGATGTTTACCTACTTGCTTCTTTAGGGAGCGCTGAGCTCCGTTTCCCAGGGACTTGACTTGAGAACCCTTGACCGCCCCCCCCCGCCCCCTTCCCCCCAGGCCCTAGTGCTGCTCACAGCAACCCCAGGTTCAGGCTGGGAACTCCTATCAGGGGTCTAACAGCAGCACCTCTCTGGGAAAGAAAGCAGAATACACAGACCGGGCTCAGTGGGGATCTCCCTACAGCGAGGAGGGGGAAGGAAGTTCTGTGAGTGGCAGACAGAGGCAGCGCGGTCAGCAACTAACAAGACTGGGAGAGCGGAGGAGGGGACGGAAGCAAAGAGGCTGAGCGTGGCGTGGCAGCCCGCGATCTCTAGAGACGCACGACCAGTGGGGCTTGGAGTGCCCTGCCTTCTCCGCGATGCTACCGCATGGGGAGGCGCGCGGATCAAGCGGCCAAAACAGGCGGCTCCAGGGGGCGGGCGCGGCGGAACGTGCGGGTCGGCCCCAGGCTGGGGGTCACTCACCGCAGGCCGGGGCGGTATACAGCGGCCATGGCACCTGGGCGGGGGCTGCAGGGTGGCCACAAAACCGAACGGAGCCGAGAGATATGGAAAGTGGGGTAGGAGGGAGCGCGGCGAAGCGAGCAGGAGCCCAGGGTAGGGCGGGAGGTGCTTAAAAAGGAGGCGGGCGGGCGGCCGCAGGAGGCGGAACCCCGCCAGGCTGTCACGACCCTCTTTCCGCCCCGCCACTAAGGCTAGGTCCGCGACAGCCTGTGGGTCCCTAACCCCATCCCTCCCATTGGAGAACTGGGTCTGCTCAGGGCCCCTCCTCGAGGCCCGCCCCCCTCCACCTCAGCCTCGCCCCTCTGCACATGATGTAACTTTGAGGACTCTTGCTCCCTCCCGGGAGAGAGCAACTGGGAGACACAGGGTGGCAAACAAGCTGGCGAGGCAGGGGGTGGGAGCTCACGGGGGCTGGACATCAAGAAGCTGGGGAGTTGAACATTGATTTTCTCATACTTGGGCATTCTGAGCCTCTGTTTTTGAAGTTCTTAGTGCTAAAAGGCCCTTTTATGCCTCATCCCTCTACCTCCAGTTTGTCTCCACCATCCTTGCGGGCTTCCTTCAGCCCAACCATAAAATGTGGCCTCTCCCACCAAACTCTCCTCATTCTCCCCTCATTTTTCTGATCTGATCTCTTCTGACACCACTCAATCAGCACCATAAAGGCCTTGGGTAATATTTCAAACTTTATGTCCATCCATCCAATTGTCTTCAACTTGAGAACACTGGTTATCTTCTCAAGTACTCTTGCAACATGCCTTTAATAATAGCATCTACCCAACATTAAAGGCCCCTTTTCCAGTAAGAAGGGAGCTTCAAGGACCTAGTGGTAAACAGTTATACTGCCAGCTGCTCCACAGGAGGAAAATGGGCAGTCTCCTCCCAAATGATTTACAGCGTCTGAAAACCCATTGGAGAGTCGGCTGTGAGTTGATTCCCACCTGACTGCACATAACAACAACAATGTTGAGAGATGATTCCGCTAAGAAATCAGTTGCCAGAAAGATAGAATCTATTAAAAACTCAGCTCATTGTCATTGAGTCAGAGGCAACTCCTGATGGACTATACAGGAATTAGAGTGACTACATCTGTGGCAAGAGAAGACAGAGAAACTCAATATAAGCAGTCGAAATAAGACCAGGGGGCGGCTGTGGAATAGATCATCAAATACTCATACACAAGTTCAAGTTGTTGTTATTTTTGCTGTACACCATCGAGTTGGAACTGATGCATAGCTGACCCTCCAGTGGGTTTTCAGAGGCAACAAATTGCATGGGAAGAGAGTACCATCATAAACAAGTTAAAGGTGTTGGTGAAGAAAATGAAAACAAGTCCGCAAGAACCAAAATATGACTTTTAATGTATCCCAGATGAATTAAAAAAAATAATCTTAAGAATAGATTCAACACGTTTGACACTAATGACTGAGGACCAAATGAATTGTGGAATGATATGAAGGACATCAATCATGAAGAAAGCAAAAAAACCATTACAATTGATAGAGAAGGAAACCATAAAAATGGATTTGAGAAGAGACTCTGAAACCTTCACTGGAACAAAAAGAAGTCAAAACAAGTGGAAAGAATGCTGAGCTAGGAGAGATGAGCAGATTTCAAGGGGCAGCTTGGAAGACAAGGGAAAGTATTATGAAATGTGTAAGGAGCTGAACCTTGGAAAACCAAAAGGGAATTTCTTGGTATTTCTCAAGCTGAAAGAACTGAAAAACAAACTCAAGCCTTGAGTTGTAATACTGAAGGATTCTAAAGGCAAAATCTTGAAGGATGCAAGAAGCATCAAAAGAGGATGGGAAGAATACATAGAGTCAATGTACCGAAAAGACTGGTCAACATGGAAACATTTCAGGAAGTAGCATATGATCAAGAATCAATAATACTGAAGGAAGAAGTCTAAGCTGCACTGAAAGCACTGGCAGAAAATAAGGACCCAGGAATTGATAGAATGTCAAATGACATGTTTCAACAAACAGATGGAACCCTGGAAGTGCTTACCAGTCTCTGCCAACAAATACCTGGAAACTGACTGGAAGAGATTAATATTTGTTCTTTAGTCCCCCCAAAAACTGGATATTACTGAAAAATATAATTAATATCACATACTAGTAAAATATTGCTGAAGATTATTATAAAATGACTGGAATGGTACATTGACAGGGAACTAGTAGAAATTAAAACTCAGAAGAGATGTGACATAAGATATTATTGCTGATGTAAGGCTGAAAGTAGAGAATACTAGTAAGATATTTACTTGTATTTTATTATGCATGGATCATAATAAGTTATGACAACATTGAGAAGAATGGGAATCTTAGAACAGTTAATTGTGTTCATAAGAACCCTTCACCTAGACCAAGAAGCAGCTGTCCAAACAGAACAGGGGAACACTGCATGGCTTAGAAAAAGTGTGCTTCAGGGTTGTGCCCTTTCTCCATACCTATTCAATCTGTATGCTGAGAAAATAATTTGAGAAGCTGGACTATATGAAGAAGAATGTAGCATCAGGATCAGAAGAAGACTCATCAACAACCTACATTATTTAGATGATACAACCCTGCTTGCAGAAAGTGAAGAAGAGTTGGAGCAGTTACCACAGAAGATCAAAGACTTCAATATGGATTATATCTCAGCATTGCTGTTGTTGTTAGGTGCCTCTGAGTTGGGTATGACTCATCGTGACCCTATGAACAAAACATCTGAATCCTGTTTTGTCCTGCACCATCCTGACACACAAAAGCCCATTGCAGCAGTCATCATGTCAATCCACCTGGTTGAGGGTCTTCCTCTCCTTCACTGACCCTCCACCCTTCCCAGCATCATGTCCTTCTCCAAGGAATAGCATCTCAACATTAACGGGGGGGGGGGGATTTTCATCACTGGGCCAATAGGCAATGTTATGATAAATGGGGAAAAGACTGAAGTTGTCAGTGATTTAATTTTACTCAAATCCACAATTAATGGTGGGAGCAGCAGTCAAAAAAGACATTTTGTAATGGGCAAATCTGCTTTCAAGAACTTCTCCAAAGTTATGAAGACTGATAAAAGCCATGATACTTTCTTTTCTAAATTCATTGTTGTGAAGTCCAGAGTGAAGGCTGCATAGTGGAGTGGACTTGGGGGGAGGGATTGCATAACAATGAAAGAATTTTTCTTTTTCTTTTCAAGAAGAGTGAATTGTGCGGGAAGGGGTAGGCAGGGAGAAAAGTACAACAGTGAATGCCTGGAAACCCTAAGTTTCTGCAAACTTTAATTGAAATTAATAAAAAAATTCATTGTTGCACATTTTCATCCCTCCTTTTTTCCCCCCTCTCACCTCATCCACTTTGCAATGCATCCCTTGTTCCAGATTGTTGTTATACATATAATGCCTGATCACATATTCCTTTCAGACAGTTCTTTCCCTCACCTGTTCCAATGCAGGGTCCATTATCTAGTCAATCTCTTTCTGTTCTCTTCTCAACCCCCCATGCCAGTTATGTTCTAAAAAAGCAGTGTTATACAGTATTTGTCCTTTTGTGACAGAGATATTTCACTCTGCACGTCTTCCAGGCTTACCATGTTGTAGAATGTTTTACGAGCTCTTTTTTCAATGCTGCATAATATTCCATTGTGTAAATGTACTGTAGTTTTTCTGTCCATTTGTTTGTTGATGGGCACTTGGGTTGCTTCCATCTCTTTGCTGTTGTGAATAATGCAGCAATAAACATGGGTTTGTATACATCTGTTTGAATTATAGATCTGATTTCTTTAGGGTATATTCCCAATAGGGAATTGCTGGGTCAAGTTCTATTTCTATATCCAACTTTTTGAGAAAACACCAGACTGCCTTCCGTGGTGGTTGCATCATTTTACATTCCCACCAGCAGTGAATGAAAGTGCCAATCCCTCCACAACCTCACCAGCATTTGTTGTTTCTTGGCCTGTTGAATTTTGCTATTCTTGCTGGGATGAGAGAATATCTCATAGTTGTTTTGATTTGTATCTCTCTGAGAGCTAGGGATTTTGAACATTTCTTTATGTAGTTGTTTTCCATTTGAATGTCTTCTTTGATGAAGTGTCTATTTATATCCTGTGCTCATTTTGTGACTAGGTTGTTTACCTTTTCTTGTTAAGCCATGGTAGTTTGAATTGTTTTATGTGCATCTGAAAGTTGAAAACTGAATAAAGATGACATAAAAATTAATGCCTTTGAATTGTGGTGCTGGAAGAGAGAACTGAATATCTCATGGACTGCCAAAAGAACAAATATGACTTGAAGTACATGCAATTAGCGTATTAGAGACATTTATAGTGAGACTTCCTCTCACCTACTATTGGTGTATTTTTAGGATGAACCAGTCCTTTAAGAGAGAAATCACGCAGAGAAAGGTAGAAGGTCAGCAAAAGAGAGGAAAACCCTTAATAAGATGTACTGATGCAACTACTATCACAGTGAGCCTGAGCAGGACAGCGATCATGAGGATGGTGTCAGGACAAGGTCCAGATCTGTTGTGTAATAGCCCAACATCAACAACAATGCTCCCACAGGGATGTCATATACCTAGTTTTCTTTATTAATCAACTTTCAAACTCCCTTGTGTGGCTTCAGGCACCTCATTTGCATAGTCCTTACCTAGTCACTTAATGGGACTTTTAAGGCTATAGTGAGAAAGGTACTATTTTAAAAAAGCAATCTATCACACTGCAAATGGCAACAATCTTGGTTTAACATTAAAAATAAATTAGATCATATCACTTTCAGGCTTAAAAGCCTTTTAAGGCTTTCTATCACATGGTATTTGATGTCCTTCATTTATCTAACTTCATCACCCTCATCTCCCTATTTGCCTTCTTTCCTACATATTGGACCTACTAAACTTTGTAGTTTCTAAGCAACTATAAACCTTTTCTCCCACTAGGACTCAGATTATATGCTGCCTCCTCCATGAAGCCTTTACTGTTTGTCCCTTGTGGTGAAATGGATCTAAGTGATTGGATAGAGCTATGCAGATGAGGTTCTTGTGGCTCACCAAAGGGATTGGGTAGTTTGTTAATAATGCACATAATAATGCTGCCTTAAAAAGAGGGTTGGTCAGTTTTGCTATTCCACTAATTTTAATATGA